TTTGCTCAGATGGCAGAACTCACTGTGCTCACTAGAGGTTTTTGGCTAGATAAGAGCCTTAACATTTACAAGGATGATAGATATACTTTTTGGGTAGTCCTTGAAGTGCTCTGGAGACAAAGAGAGATCTTCACCTCAGGAGGGGCCCATTTAAGAATGGTCAGCAAATTGGGGGTGCCTGGGTGGCTCTGTCGGTGAAGTGTCAGTCTTTTGATTTCAGCTCAGGTCATAATCTCACGGGTTCCTGAGATCGAGCCCCAAGTTGGAATCTGTGCTGACAATGCAGAGCCTGCTTTGGATTCTCTCTCCCTCTCTCTGCCCTTCCCTGTTCACATGCTCTTTCTCTCAAAATTAAATAACTTTAAAAAATTAAATAAAAATTAATTTAACAATTAAAAATTAAAAATTAATTAAAAATTAAAATTAAATTAAAAATTAAATAAACTATAAAATGAAGCATAGAGGGGCCCTTGAGTAGCTCAGTCAGTTAAGCGTCCGACTCTTGATTTCCACTCAGGTCATGATCTCCTGGTTTGTGGGTTCAAGCCCCCCATCTGACTGTCTTCTGACAGTACAGAAACTGCTTGGGGTTCTCTGTCTCCTTCTCTCTCTCTACCCCTCCTGCGCTCATGCTTGCTCTCTCTCTCTCTCAACAATAAATTAATTAATTAAAAAGAAAAGAATAGTCAGCAAATTAAAGAATTTTGAATGTTCTGTTTCCTAAGAAGGTAGCTCTTATGAAAGTAGGAGCTTATACAAAATGTGAAAGGAAATGCTCTGGCACTCAACTAAGATTCTAGCCTCATGACACCTCAAACAATTCAATCTTTGGAGATGTTCAAAAAATCTGGTATAGAAAGCCAGCATTCAGGATGCCTGGGTGGTTCAGTCAGTTAAGTGTCCAACTTCGGCTCAGTGTCCAACTTTGAACTCAGTTCTTGCTGAGTTCTAGCCCTATTGTTGGGCTCTGTGCTAACCACAGCTCAGAGCCTGGAGCCTGCTTCAGATTGTGTCTCTCTCTGCCCCTTCCCTGCTTGCACTCAGTCTCTCTCTCAAATAAATACACATTAAAAAATAAATAAAGAAAGAAAGCAAGTAAGCCAGCGTTCAACAGAGCTTACAGTCTAGCCAGGTGACAACATTTAACTTAGTAAATACAGTAAGGGATATTATGCATTATGAAAATTAACACATAGACAAATTTTCAGGGAAATGGACTTTGTAGGAAATGGTCAGTTCTTAAACAAGGAAGGAGAATATTAATGGATCTGGAACAGTTGCTCAAAGCAAGATACCCTTGAGTTAAGCCTTTGGAAGATGGAAACATGGAGTGTTTTCTAGACAAAGTAAGAAGCTCAAGCAAAAGTTGTGAAGTGGCTTGGGCAGTCCAGGGACTTGGAACCACCTTGCATGGTTAGGATATTTGAGTGACAAATAAGAGATGACACATCTATTGTGGACGATGTATGTATCTTAATCCCTTGATCCCTCGAAGAAAGCAATTTAGTATATGTGCTGCTGAAGCGAGCACTCGAATAAAGCAATTTAGAGGAAAGAAGTGATTTGGTAAAAGCATAATTCTTTATTAAAAAATAAAGTGTTTTTTTAATCTGAAAAGCTTCTGTTTTCATAATTATATCTTGATCTTGATACTTACTCATTTTTCAACTGCCCTAAGTCAGCTTTAAAAATTATGTCCCATGTTCAATTCTGATACCCTTTCTCTCCATAATCTAGTCCCTGCAAGTATTTGAAACTTCATTCTGGATAAGTATAAATTGATGGAAATGGATCTACTTTTCACTGGGTGCTCTTCACTTGGAAAAGTAGTCATGTTCTGATATTCAGGTGCACAAAGTAATTTACAGGCATGGTCAATGAATATTCTATTTGTATATGTGTCTGTGTACGTGCACGTAACTGTTGATGTGTACCCACAAGTATCATTTCTATTTATGTAGTATCCTTTATAACATAAGCCTAAAACCAACATTCCAGACTATCAACTAATGGCTTCCTATTTATATTATTAAGTAGCATTGTTGTTAGTAAACACTGTACATGGAGAGAGCTATTACGGTAAACCAGCTAAACCGCAGTTCGATGTCCTTACTCAGCGGGGTTCTATTTAGAACATAAGCAATGTCCTAGATAACCTAATGATAGACACAGGGGTGTGTCTTATCCTTGCATTCTTTTCCTTTCTTTGGAGTTCAGGTTTATAAGTTTAAGCTAATAATCATACTTCCTTGTTCGTGGCACATTGCTATCATTGCCTTCCTCCATCCCCTCACTTTTTAACATTTTAGGTAAGAGGGTTGTTTTTACATGTGTACTTCCATTTTCCAGGAAATGGAAGTCCTATGAGTCAGATCAGGATTTTGATCCTGATTCTTTGCCACTAATAAGCATGCAATTTTGGGTAAATGATTTAACCTGAGACTCCATTTTCTCATGTATAAAATGGGAATAGGGGTGCCTGGGTGGCTCAGTCAGTTCAGCATCTGACTGCAACTCAGGTCTTGATCTCGCTGTTCATGAGTTCAAGCCCCATGTCAGGCTCTGTGTTGACAGTTCGGAGCCTGGATCCTGCTTCAGATTCTGTGTCTTCCTCTCTCTCTGCCCCTCCCCTGCTCACACTCTGTCTCTCTCAAAAATAAGTAAACATTAAAAAAAAATTGTAATGGGAATAATAACAGCTACCTCATCATGGAGTTACTATGAGAATGGATTATGTACCTAGAGTACTTAGTACAGTGTCTAGTATGTGGTAAGTGCTCAGTACAATCTTGCTACTGTTTAATAACTGTCACTGGCATTAGAACTTTGAATTTGGACAAATTGCAAGCCAAGATAGTAGTATCTACTACCAATATGCTATGTAACTTTAAGTAAGTCACTTTGCCAAACTGTCACTTCCATTTCTGCACTTAGGGAATAGAAGTGGCATTGCAACTGCTTGTAAATAAGACTGTGAAAATTTAAAGCACTAAGTAATATTAATCATTTATATCACCTCATAAAAATCTGTCATTATGTCTATAATCCTGAAGATAAGTATAATTGATATTTTGTATGAATAGTGCACTTTCCACTTGTTCAGACATTTCAAAGATGAACGAAAGAGCATTGAACCTACCCAAGGTTATAGACTCAGTAAGACAGGAGGAACAGATATTCTGTTAACTGATGGGCAATGACAGAAGAAATTTATCTTCTTTGAAGAATTTCATGTTTCTTCCTATCCAGCAAAGAGTGAATCTTAGCAGTTCCATCAAGAAGTAGATGGTGCTAATGGCAAGGTCTTCACTGGGAGCTGATTCTGTGGGTTTTTAGACCACCTGAGTAACCTTGGCTGTTCCTCTCCTTTTCAATGCCTAATTCTGAACTTAAAATTTAGCTTCCCCAGTGGGTTAGCAACAAAGGAGGAAATGTTATGCTGTAAAAGTAATGGAAGTCCTGGGTCCTCTAATTCTCTCTTCTTTGACGGTACTTCTCAAGGCGCAAGATTTGTCACAGTATAGGCTTATTAAGCTCTTTAGTGGGAGGGCTGTATAGAGCAGTGACTTAGATCCTTAGAGCCAGACTGCCTGGGTTTGAATCCTGGCTCAGGTTCTCATGAGCAACGTACACTTAACTGTCAGGGCTTAAAATAGCACCTACTTCATGAATTAGACCAGCCCCTGGACCATGCTAGAGGCTCAGTTAATATTACCTATTAGTTTTGCAAGTAAAAGTGTATGCCTAACTAGAATGTGGTTTACCTGAAAGGTAAAATTGGAGGACAAAGTTGGTTTAACTTGAAATAATTTATATGAGCAGACACCACCAAGATGGGTTCACCAAAGTGAATCACTACATAGTCACATAAATAACACAGCTTTATTTCTTTATTACTAGAATTACAAGTTAGTATAGCACAGACAATAAGTGCATGGGATTTTAAGTCAGTTATGACACTGTGTCCTTGCTTCAGTTTCTCCACTTGTAAAATGGTTAAAAGTAGTACCTCCTACGTGGAGTTGGTGTGAGGTTTAGATGAGATAATGCCAGTAAAGTGATTAGCAGTTTCTGACAAACAGTAAACACTTAATATTCTGTTATCAATAATAAATGTTAGTGGTTATTGTCATTTGAAGTAAAATAGCAAGGCATATAAGCCCCATTCAGATAGAACTAGTTGTAACTAATTTAAATGTTTGTCACATACATTGTCACAAATTTAAATGTGGTCAAAACTGGGGCTTCTTGTTGTAGATTTAGACATATGGAAAAAGTTCTAGAACAATTCTATGCCTGGGCCATAGTAGGCACTTATATAAATACTGATACGTGAGTGCCTCTGTGAATACACTGATTGTTTTCCTCTGTGAACCTCACATCTCAGTGTCTTAAGATTCTTTGTTTTGCCATACTATTTCAGGTCAGTTTAGCTGTGGGAGGTTGTTTATGCCATCACTAGGGCTTGCTGTATCTAATATGGTCTTGATCTGAATCTGTTCGAAGCAGCTAAAAGAAGCCATAGCTAGTTGGCATTCACTGAAAAAAACATGAAGGCTTTGGGGAAAGTTTTTAAGAGTAACAGGAAAAGAACAGGATGTTATTAGATTGGATTTAAATGCCTGGCATGTATATTGGAGTTTGGATTACCTTCTCTATGGGCTAACCCCTGCAAAATTTTAGTTAGCATTTTCCCTCCTACAATTTATTCTTAAAGCTCATTATCTTCTTAATAGAATAGAATTAATTTTAGTTTTAGCCCATGTAAAATTTAATAAGGACAGTAAACCTTTAGCTCCAGTTTTCTCAAATGCTTTACAAAGCAAAATGGTAGTTTTACATTATTATTTGCTCTCAAATATTCAAAGCTCCACTATCCATCATATAAACTGATAAATCCTTAAATTGTAATAACAAATTAACAAGTGATGTTAGCAGAAAACATTGGCCACTAATTCCCAAAGGGAAGCAGAGTTGTGTTTACCCATTCATATACTTACAATATGTCATTTATTAAATCCCCTTTTCCTTACCACAACCTTTGATCCAAACTGAATGTTCATTTGCGGTAGGTCTAGGGTGTTGCCGTGGCAACACTGGAACTCAAGGCACCAGAATGTGGCCAGGTCAGAATACACCAGAATCTGTACCTCCATGTCCATAGCTCTTTGTTTATGGCATTTATCATTGATTTGCTCTATGTTAGTTGTTTGGTTGTTTGTGTACCTATCCAGGAGATAGGTCTGAGAAATACCACTGCCTGGAGTCACATCTTCTTGGAAGAAAGAAAGGAAGGAAAGAAGAGAGAAAAGAAGGAAGGAGGATAGGAAGGGAAGAGAAGAGGAAGAGAGGGAGGAGAGGAGGAAGGAAAAGAGGAAGGGAGGATAGCATTTGTATGGAGCCAGAGTCAGAGATGTGAGTCTAGGAAAACATTATTATCTCTCCCACCTTCTATATACCACCCCAGTGGTTGCTTTTTTATGTCTCTATCCAATTTCTTGATAAACCTAGACTTAAAAAGAAGTAATCCTAAGATGTTTTCTTAGTTGTCATGAATGAATTCAGTAATTTTTCTTTTTTTAAGTTTAGTTATTTTGAGAGAAAAAGAGACAGACAGACAGAGAAAGAAAGAGAAAGCAGCATGAGCAGGGGAAGGGCAGAGAGAGGGAGGGAGAGAGAGAATCCCAAACAGGCTCAGCACTGTTAGTGCAGAGCCCAACAGGGGGTGGGGTTTGAACTCATAAACCATGAGATCATGACTTGAGCCAAAATCAAGAGTTGGTTGCTTAACCGACTGAGCCATTCAGCCTCCCCTGGATTCAGTAACTTTGACTCTCATTAGCAGTAGTTCAGTCAACTGGAAAAATTTTTTTTTACTTTAGAGGACACACATGTGTGAGTGGGGAAGAGGGGCAGAGGGAGGGAGGAAGAAAGAGAGAGAGAGAGAGAGAGCAGCATGAGCAGGGGAAGGGCAGAGACAGGTAGGGAAGGTAGGGAGGGAGGGAGGGAGAGAGAAAGAGAGAGAGAGAGAGAGAGGGAGAGAGGGAGAGAGAGAGAATCTTAAGCAGGCTCCATGCTCAGTGCAGAGTCTGAGTCGGGGCTCAATCCTATGACCTTGGGATCATGACCTGAGCTGAAATCAAGAGTCAGACAATCAACTGACTGAGCCACCCAGGCACCCCAACTGGAAATATTTTTTATTGTAATATTTGAAATGGGCTATGCTGAATAATTCACAGGTCTATCATATATGGTCATGTCTATTCTCCTACTTCAAAGTTTGATTTTTATGTTTCTGTCAGCTCTAGGAACTGTAAAACCTTCTGAGACATAAAAAGGAGAAAACCTCAAAATTGCTTTCTTTCTATACTCTAACTTTCCCTTTTATCTATAGAAGCTAAAAGTGTTAACTTTGGAACCACACCTATATTTTGCCCCAAAGACTGTATTAAATAATGTATGATGACATACAGTGAAGTACAGTTGTTGAAATGACTTTGGGAGTGTTCTCTGGTTCCAAAAGACATTTGATTGAGCACATTCTTTCTGATTGCAAGATAGCAGAGCTCATTAACCCGAGGGATAGAATGACATTTGCTGTGTCTTTTACCGGTTCAAGAATAGGATCTTCCCAGCAGATTATGCTCTTGTCAGTCTTGTTAATATTTTAAGGGAAACACATCAATCTAACTTTCAAAAAATTATGTTTCCTTCTTTGAATCGATAATATATTCATATGGTTTAAAACCCAAAAGGTACAAAAGAGTATAAAGTGAGATGTCTCTCCTCTGCCCTTGTCTCCCAGCCACCCAGTTTCTGGAGATAACCACTGTGTTTTGGATACTCTTCCAGACATGTCCTCATACTGATTTTTGACACATCTCTCTTAATCTAAACAGACATTTGGCTCAGCCCTGAAACGTCAAATTCTGTTATTTCCTAAAGGAGTTTCTCCCTGCTGGCCATTTGCTATAAACTGATTCACAAAATGGGAAAATTTAATATAATTAAATTCCCATTCAAATGACTTTGAGAAAGTGTCAAAATTGCTGGGATTAGTTGATTTAAATATTGTTTAAGAGAAAATCAATTGCTATAGAGTCCAGATGGCAACTCAAAAAAAAAAGAAAAGAAAAGAAAAGAAAAAAGAAAGAAAGAAAAAGAAAAAAAGACAAAAAGCAGTGTCTTTTCTTAGATTTGTCTGTCAATGAAGAGGATGACTTCTATATTACGAAATTACTTGTTTTTGTTGTTCTTAGCCTTCTCCCATAGTGTCCCCTCTATTACCTCTCCCTTTTTTTGCATGTTTTTTAGCAAAACCTTGTCCTTAGCCTACCTCCTCTACTCTGAGCTTTACATTTACATTAAAAAAAATTTTTTTTAATTTTTATTTAATTTTGAGAGACAGAGAGAGAGAGAGACAGAGACAGAGCATGAGTGGCGGAGGGGCAAAGAGAGAGGGAGACACAGAATCTGAAACAGGCTCCAGGCTCTGAGCTGTCAGCACAGAGCCCAACATGGAGCTCGAACTCACAGACCGTGAGATCATGACCTGAGCTGAAGTCGGACGCCCAACCAACTGAGCCACCCCCAGGTGCCCCTGAGCTTTACATTTACATTTTATACTTTCTTAGAGCTGCCCAGTGGTTCTAGCCACGTGTGCCTCACTTTCTGTCCTTACCTTTTTTCTGGAGCTCATCAATATCCCACAGTCACTCTGTATGGGAGTCAAACCATAAGAGACTTTTAAATACAGAGAACCAACTGAGAGTTGATGGGTGTGGGGGTGTGGGGGGTGGGTTAAATGGGTGACAGGCATTAAGGAGGGCACTTTTCAGGATGAGCACTGGATGTCATATGTAAGAGATGAATCACTGGGTTCTACTCCTGAAGCCAAGACTACACTGTATGTTAACTAACTTGAGCATCAAAATAAATAATTTAAAAAACAAATATTTAAAAAAAAGAATTAACTGTAATAGTCTTGTTGGATACATCTGTGTTTGGGAACAGTACTTTTTTTTTTTAGTTTTTAAAAAAATGTTTTATTTCTTTTTGAGACATTGCAAGCAGGGGAAGCACAAATTCTGAACTTACAGCAGTGAGCCTGATGCTGGGCTCGAACTCAAAAACTGTGAGGTAATGACCTGAGCGGAAGTTAAATGGTCAACTGACTGAGCCACCCAGGTGCCCCCGGGAATAGTACTTCTATATGGGGTTTTCCATTCAATGCAATTTGTTGAACTGTATTACCTGCCTTAGTATTAATGGGTCATTTGCTTGGATGTGGGAGTTGGTTCATTAAACAAAAACTTGAGTCAAACAGATTTTTAGTTAAATTGGACTTTCCTTATGATGCAGTTCCTAGAATCCACTAGAGTGCATTATATACGAGCTGATCATGCAGGAAGGTGCACGATCCCACCCATAAGGAGTATTGTATTCATAAAGGGTGTTATAGTGAAGATATAAGGCAAGGTATTTCCCTCAGGCTATGTGCTCTCAGTGCACAATAAGACAACTTTCTGAGGAGGCCTTTTGGGTATTTCTAGGAGTTAATCCTACCTTCCCAGGATTCAAAGAGGCTTTCTCTCATGCTAAACTATATACACACTTAGGGCAGGGTCCCAGGTTTTTATTAGTTCTGATACCATAAATTTATACTAACAGGACATGTACTAATAGAAACAGTGCTTTTATTTTTTTCATTATCAAGTATCAGAACTAGGCAACCAGGGATTTGATTAGAATCTGCTATTCGCTTGACACAATTCTCATTGCCCTCAAGGTCTCTGCCAACAAGGTTAGAAACTACCGTGACAATGTTAAGCAGTTCAAAAACTAATGGATCATCTGTGTTAATATATTTTTCCCCCAGTGTGCTTCAGATCAAGTATTTTTCTACTTATTACTCATTTTAAAAACCATACTGCTTTAAACGGGTTACGTGAAATATAGTCTTACTAGCACAGGCTTGTACCTAGTCAGTTGAAAACAAGCTTATCTGGGCCCAAGCTATTTTGGGTATAAGTGGGAACTAATTTTAATAAAAGTTTGGAATTGTATACAAAATATTGATGTTCTATTTCTGGTATGTACTCTCATAAGACACCTCATCACTAAAGGAAGGGGCACTGAAAACTCTGTGGTCAGATATTCTTTGTTTATGGTGTTCAAAAAATTCATAATTATGTTTTAGCTACAATGTTGTTACATTATAAGGTGGTTATCTTAGAAGCTAGGATACCGAGATAGTACTGAGAGAATTAATAGAGAGCTATTGACTCGTCTAGTATACTTCCTATATACTAGTGGCGTAAGCCACCATTTGCCATTAAGAATAGCATAAATGCAACAGGTATTTGTCTCTATATATTTTCAAAAGTTTTAAATGTTTATTTATTTTTGAGAGAGACACAGAGCATGACCAGGGGAGGGGCAGACCAAGAATCCAAAGCAGGCTCCAGGCTCTGAGCTATCAGCATAGAGCCCAATGTGGGCCTTGAACTCAGGAACATGAGATCATGATCTGAGCCAAAGTCAGATGCTTAACCCACTGAGCCACCCAGGCGACCCTGTCTCTCTATTGTCTTAAAGGTGAGAACTGTATCTCAGTGTTTCATTTTGGCAATATCTTTAGTTAAATGCATCTCCTCAAATGTGGTTTCAAACAACCCACTATTGACCAACTGGTAGGAAAATGGCTGCTATTTTACTTCCTTACTGTGATTTCAGATGGTTTCTGTTTAAATAATTCTCCTGGAAATTGCCTTAGGACTGAAAGGTAATGACTCAATGGAACAGTTCCACTTCTGACTCACAGAGAATCTGGTATTAGTCATTTGACTCATCTGCTTCTCTCATTTAGGAAATGTCACTATAAATGCACCATAAGGTGCTTGTGAAATGCTCCAATGCACATATAAAAGGTGCTAGAAAATTACAAGGTTAGAGAGTCTTACTTCAAAATGTAGTCTTATAAAACTTCAAACAGGTGTTTGGTTTCATAATAGACCAACTCTAGAATAACCTATTTATGTGTGTGTGTCGGGGGGGAACAACCCACCT